CAGTAAACGCTCCTGATTCCTTTTCAACTACGTCATACATTGCCTAACAAAACAATCTTTTTACATTCATAGGGGCAAGCGGAGATGTAAATACCCAGTTTGGAAACATTCTCTAGGCACATCGCAAAGGCATGTGTTTTTTGTGTTTTTTTTTTTTTTTAAACCACAATACATCTTCCTATATATATATATATTAGTGCATGAATATGTGATTTAGTTTCGATTTGAGCTGAAATAATATATAAAAATTAAGTTGCATTTCTAGGTAAATGATCTGTGCGATGTACTACTGAACCTGCTACAGGGAGTATTTTTCTTCAAATCTCTAACAAAAACACAGGCCTGTAAACCATCTCCATCTCTGTGTGCGCAAGAGGGGAAAAAGGAGCGCTGGTGAAAAACACAGCGGTCGGAAAAACAAGCAGCGAGGCAGACTGCTATGGCTTTACCCGTAGCGGATCCTCGCCAGGCTCTCACTGTAGTCGGCATCATGCAGAAAACACGGTTGTGTCCATTAAGTTCATTAAACACTAAGCTTTTAATTGTGGGTCAGGAAATTAGCACAATTTAAGCAAATGCACTACTTAAAAAGCCATTGCTGTCTCAGAAAAACATCTAAGACGGAATGAAGTTTTTGGCAGAATATGGGAAGATGTGTGTGTGGAGTCACAATGAAACACGAGTTGCATGGTGATACTCCAGAGCAGTGTCTTTGAAAATTTGATGAGAAATATAGTAATAAATGCATGTGTACCACAGAGAAGCATGGAGGAAGAGGTGTCGATAGGGAGCCTTTTTAGCTGCTGGTACTGGTGAGCTACTTCACTGTGAAAAGTCATTTAATGCTTCGGAGTACTGGGGAATATTGCAGAATGGGTTTCTTCCCACAATTGAAATGGAACTATCAGATTGTATTTTTCAACAAGACAATGCTCCTGATCAAATAGCAAAGAAAATCAATAAGTGGCTTGAGAACAATTCCATCAGGCTCAGGTTTTGGCCTTCTTCAGTCTAAATTTAAAGCCAAGTGAATATTTGGTCTCACATTAAACTCAAATTAACTGGGAGGCAATTTTCACCTACTCATGATCTGTTTGAAACCACCAACACTGACTGTAAAAAGCTGTCTGCAAATTTACCCACACGGCTTAAACATTTTAAGAAAACAAAGGGAGAGCTATTCTGTGCCAAGTTACTTTATCTACAATATTTGTGCAATTCATGCTAATTTCCTGACCAGTGATTTGTGATTAAAATGGTTAAGACCATTAAAAGACCACTAAATATTTTGCCATTTTTGACTTGGCCTTTTGCCCAGGAGTGTATATCATTCGTCATATTCATCACTGACCAAACAAAAAAAGACAGATGAGACACACATTTTGTTTACACCACAGAGAGTCGAAATATTTTGTCTAAAATACAAAAAAAAAAAAAATCAGAAATGAGAAGCAAAACACCTCTGTTTCCCTTATGAAGTTGTAGCCATAATGTTTTCCTGAGAAGTCCAAAAATTGATTAAAGGGTCACTTTTCATCTAACCTTTGACCTGCAAACAGTGGCCTATCTTGTTTACTGTGACATTATGACTTACGACCTTTCAATAATTCTACCAGTCAAAAGTTTGGACACTTTGCTGATTATTTATTGACAGATCGATTGATTGCATGATCTTTAAAACAATCTAAAGTCTTTAATACTTGAACCATTAAATTACACCACTTCCAGTTTTATTTCATAATTTTGATGAGTTTATGATTATTCTAAAATGTAAAAAAACACCATCAATAAAGAATACGCAGGTTTGTCCAAACATGTACAATGGAAATACTAACAATGTGCATCTTTTGCACGTTCACGCATACTACACCAGTTTAGTACAATAAACAACGATTCTTGTACATTCATGCATTGACAGTCACCATTGCAAAAAGACAATCTAAACATCAGAGATGAGATATGGGAGTTAAGGAATCTTGTCTCATGATAACCTGTCACCTGAGGAGGGATTCAAAGTCGTTTATTATGGGATATATGCATACATAAACATATGACTCAGACAGGTTAGCTGATGTAGGCTACTACAACACACTACAGGTAAACAAGACCTACAGCCTTCCCTCAAACGTCAGTGAAGACTGTCATCATGGACACGCCCCCTCAACGCATTCATTTATATATATAAAAATAAAAGTTGTTTTGAAATAAATCTCGAGTTTATGGCACGCACATGAAGCTAACTGTATGTGATGGGTCTCCACTGTATTATTATTATAAATGGACTTCATGGATCCACATTCAAGACGCATCAACTTTGGAAAGTGGAAATAACACGTTTTTGTAGTGTTTTGGTGAGCGGAAATGTTTGATTTAACACTGGGTTTCCAATAAAGTCCAGTCAATGCTACACTTTGACAGAATGTAGCTGTGTATGAAGCGTCCGCCGCGCGCCAAACATTCATCAAAGGAGTTTGACATGTGCCGACACAAAACTTTCTCTCAACTCACCTCTGTCCCGTAAAGGAGCACTCGCTTCTTCATCCCTGCTCACTTGCGTGATGATCGAGGCGGACGGGTGGTCCATGAGATCCGTAGAACAAGTAAAATCGCAACTTAAAAAGGGTTTCCGTATTAAAATCTTTCCGCTGGCTACGATTGAATTGAAAAAAAAGAAAAGACTCCCTGCAAATGCACCCAAAACTCCAAAAGACTTTTACCACTTAAGAACATTCATAATGCGAAACCATATTAGGCTGAATGCAGTATCTATGTTTTATAAGTTATACGACATAAAGAAAATTAAATAAAAATAATAATAAAAAGTTAAGTTCCTGGATGATAACTTTTCACAACATGGAGTTCGGCTCTGCTCTCAATTTCAACATAAAAACATGGAACTCGGCGGTTTCAAGGCACCCTTCGCCTTAAAGGGGCAACGACACTCAGGCAAGACAGAACTATGCAAACCACTTCGAAGGTTCAAAGTTTATGGATTTGAAAAATATTACGAATCAGAAGAAAAGCGAGCGCATTTACCAGTATGCTACCTGTGAACATCTCTTTTTTTAGTACCAGTTCAAATACAACATATTTAATTCTCAATTGGAACTTAGGTGGCCCCACAAACCAAGACAGCTCAGCACAATTAAAGTTTAGCTATTTTTTTGTTGTTGTTCCACACAGCAATCCTATATATTACCGGTATGTAAAATGTAATGTGCATGTAAAAAGTTAATCAATAATTGTTATTTTAATGGTTTTATTATTTAAGTATCACACAGTATGTAAATAAATACATGAATATAATACCATACACGCAATATTATAGGCAAAATTTAAATCTTAATACTCCGTTTTTTAAGAAAAAAATGTTTGTATATTCAAGAGGAACATTTCACATTTGTAAGATTTTCTGAAAATTAATTTTAGATTTTTGGTGGGGTCCACTTAACTTACAGCATTTTTTTATAGAACAATTTCGTTCAAACCATAACATATTTATACAAAGTAAGTATTCTCGTGGGTTTCTTTTTCTTCTTCTTTCACTGGAACTGGATAATATTAATAAATCTGACTTTGGAACAAAGTGTCCTAATCGCTTTGGCTCGGGCTTGATTAATACGCGTTGCCCCTTTAAAATTTACAAAATCCAATACGCAAACAAAGTTTAAAAGATCTCTTGGCCTCGGCGTAACTGAATGCTCAGTTCGAAGTTAAAACAGCTTTTTCTATCTTCCGACAGGTAATATATATCATAAGTAGTCAGACCCGAATGATTTCAAACGAACGCGTGTGCATTTTACGCTTTTTAAGAAGCGAGACAACTTTCTTGTGAACTTTTTTGGCAGGAGCTGCGAGCGCGGGGGGCTTGAGACCGTCTTTAGAATGGAGGATAGGGAGAGTCCTGAAAGTTCGCGCACTCCGTCATGTTGATTACAGAGTTTACATCATTGGTATTCATCACACACTACACTTAACAGTCTACAGTCATTCAAAGAAAGCATCAGCAAGTCCCTCCGGATTATGAGTTTGAAGTTTTTTGTCACATCACAAGTTCTTTCAAAAAAAAAAATATCATACAGTTTTTGCTTAATTTTTAGCACTATTGCATGAACCAGATCAAGGATGTAACCATATATCACGGGGACAAAATATTTTTTGTGAATTGATAAATGATCGACCACGTCATGTTTTTTTTTGTTTTTTACTTTATAACATTTCTTCAAGGCATGGTGTGCAACAGGTTTTTCAGCAAAGTTTTGATCATGTTGATAATAGGCTACAAATTTGCATATCAAATACATGTAGGTTTTATATAGCCTAGTTAAAGAGGTCTTCAGCAAGCCATTTATTTTAGTATAGTGACATGCTGTAGAGGCATCAATCCATTGAAGACAAAGGACATTATTTGAAATAAATAAACCACACAAGAGAGAAGAGGACCTGTGTCTCTAACTGCTCAGAGGTCATCATACTTCCCTGAATCTGCTGGCTAAGTGTATTTGATGGTCAGGAAAGTAGCTGTATCTCGCTGAAAGAGAGGTTACAGGGAAAAATACAACCAATTAGGTCAATAAGAGACGTTAAAGTCAGCATGAAATGCAAGTTGCGTCTTTTCCTCCCAATTGTGACATATATCTGAGTGAAACAGCTTCTCAAAGAAGACAAAAATGTAGGGTGGGACTTGCTTTTGTTCATCGGGAACTGATTGGATGGTTGTGGTTTGCTATTGGTCGATGTCATGTGAGTGACAGGTTGTCCCGCCCTCGTGCCAGTAAACACATCATCAGAGAAGAGAAGAGATGATCTCGTTGCAAGAGGGAGGGAAGTCATTTTGATTAAAGGTTATGAGGGCATGTGAATAAAAAAAAAAGAAGATATGCACGGATAAATCATTTATAATAAATATGGTAAAAACAAGAATTTTCCATTTTGATTTCATGGTGACTTGAGTTTGCATATAGATGAACATATCTCTGACTAGGTCATCCAAGATGGCTTCACATGACCAGGGCCACAACATCAGGATCCTCAAAAACATATTTGTTCTTGGTCAGCTGTTTCCTATCCTTTGACATGAGCATGAAGGGGTCTGGAAAGACACTGCACTGAACTCCAGCAGAACCACATTTTTCAGTTCCTGAAGACACATTGGAGGGCCTTTTTTGTTGCAGCTCTTTCCTTGATTTAAACAGACAATGGTACACATTCATGCAGACGACAAATCAAAGGTCAGCTGTTACATGCAGCTGAGCCACACAGCATTAAATAGAGCTCTGTCTATATCCGATTGTGACTCACCAATGCTCTCGCTATGAAGCTTGGATGTGGATTGTTGCTTCTTAGCTTTGAGGGTCATTCATGTCTAAAGGGCATCCTGGAAGTGCTGCTGCTGCTGGACTGATGGATTTGACTGGGGAAATCTTGAAAATTAAACTGCAAACTGTTTCATCTATGTCAAAATGTTTATGACATACTGGAAAAGGATCTGATCGTGGGGTTTTGATAGTGTGTGAGATTGTAATGATGATTTACTAACACAACAAGTTAGCCATAGCAGTCAATTAGCTTTAAATGATTACAAAAGAAGATTTCTAAATTCGGTTTTAAACATATATTTCAGAGTTTTGGGTCAGTAGGACTTCTTTTTTTGGGAAAGAAATTAATAAATGCTATTCAGCTAGCATGCATTAAATTGATCCAAAGTGAGAGTAAATAAATTTATAATGTTACAAAAGATTTCTATTTAAAATAAATGCTGTTCTTTTTGATCTTTCTATCTTGAAAAAAATGTCACGTTCTCCACAAAAATATTAAGCAGCACAACTGTTATCAACATTAATAATAAGAACAAATGTTTCTTGAGTGTATTAGAATGATTTCTGAACTATCATGTGACACTGGTGGCTTGATGATAGCTCTGTCAAACAGGGTGTGCTCTTTGACACCAATCTTTCATTTGAAAGTCACGCTTCTAGTATCTGTAAAACCGCATTCTTCCATCTTAAAAATATATCTAAATTATGTCATATGCTCTCAATGACAAATGCGGAAACAATTAGTTCATGCGTTCATGACCTCAAGGCTAGATTATTGTAATGCTCTTATGGGTATTAAGAACCAGGAAGTATGATGACCATATTAGCCCGGTTCTATCAACACTGCATTGGCTCTCCCATCGTATACATTTTAAAATATTGCTGATTACTTACAAAGCACTAAATGGTTTAGCTCCCCAGTACTTGAGCGAGCTTTTAACGCATTATAGTCCATGTCTATTGCGATCTCAAAATTCCGGCCAGTTGATAATACCTAGAATATCAAAATCGACTGCTGGCGGTAGATCCTTTTCCTATTTAGCACCAAAACTCTGGAACGGTCTTCCTAACATTGTCCGGGAAGCAGACACTCTGTCAGTTCAAATCTAGACTAAAAACACATCTCTTTGACCAAGCATACACATAACATATTATAAACTTCTATAATTCAATGTTAGGCTGCATAGATTATGTCAGCCGGAACCGGGAACAATTCCCATAAATCCTGATGTACTCGTTACATCATAAGAAGAATGGCGTCTACGCTAATATTAGTCTCTCTGTTTATCCCGAGGTTTACCGCAGTCCCCCGGATCCAGGCCGTATCCAGATCTAATGAAGGACCAGCGCCTGGACACGACGACAACGCAGTCCTGAAGTGTCAACTAGTCTCTCCCTTGCGAAGGCCTCCTTCCCTTTACCTCTGTACAGATATAGAACGTTGTCAAAATAGTTCCGGTTCACATGGCTACTCGGAAGCAATAAATAATTCTGTATTATACATTTTTAAGGCCAGAAAAGTGGCCTCAATTTGTAAAGAAAGACTACGTGCCTGCGCACATATTCAAATGTGCATACCTTTGGACTGAACACGTAATACGCATGTGCACGCCGTCAGCGTTTTCACAGGTTTACATTTTTAAAGCTTGCGGAGATATATATATAATATATGTATTAAAAAAATAAAAAAATTGATATAAGGCTTGCACCTTGGAACCTATTTCATGTTAGCGACCCCTAAGTTAATAACTAATGATCTTTGCAACGGAAGTGAACAAACTTTAGCTGCACAATAACTTTATTCTAGAGCTGTTGTAAGGCCAAAGCAATCTCTGTTACTTTAATTTCCTATTATCACTGTAAAGCTGCTTTGTATTTTAGATCACATAAATTCAGTATTGGTTAGCATAAGAGACTTCTTGCTCAAATTCTTAGCTCAAACTTTTGAACGGTAAGTGTGTATTAAACTTATTGTTATTTAAAAAGCTTTATGTGTTGCTAATGGCATCAGTTTTAAAAGACAATAGTTTTTTACTTTATAACGTTTTTTAAGTTCTAAGAAAAAAGTATTTTCCTGATACATTTAGATGGAGGATAAAGCAAGGTTAAGTGTTAAAACAACAGGCAACAGAGCGAATAGCATTAAGTACAATGATAAATGATTAGGATATGACAGTTATAATCATAAATAGTCTACTGCTGAACAAAATCAACTAATACTCAACCTGAAGTTTCTTGACCTTTACTTCTACTCAGGAGCCAACAAATGTGCAGAATTGTGCCTGAGTTTTATAAATACAGTTCCATTGAGAGTACTTAAGTTTGAGACTACATTTGCCTGCCTGTGTATCTTTATCTTAGAGATGACATACTGATGTTGATAAAAGATCAACAAGTGTTCTAGAGTAAGCAGTTGTGCTGTATATAGTCAACCTGTAATGAACAAACCCCTAAGGCTAAGAGCATTACACTGTGAGCTGATAGTGTCAGATGTGAAACATCAATGGTCCAAAATAAAATAGCGCACATGTAAAAAGCCTGAGTCCTTACATTTGGATTGGCTTCACTTGAACACATGAATGTAGTGTGAGTTAATGGCCCGTTTATGTAGTCTAACTACATCTGGTTGAATTATTATTGTTCTAAAGTGTCTCATAATGACATTTAGACCATTTCCACTTTGTAATATGCACTTAGAGACACTGAAATGACTGGAATAATAATAATAAATTAATGTAGTCTGTTGAGTATTGCTGACAGCTGATTTTATTCATGAAAAGTCATGGTTTCGACATATACACACTTCATTCTACTGTAAAACATTCATATTATCTCCACATTGTCACTGTTTTAGTGCAACATAATTCATTCCAGAAAAGCTTGATTTAGTTTCACATTAAAGGGTTGCTCGGCATGACTGAAAGAGTAGTAAACACACACACACAAATGAAATAATATAAAACCTTATTCACAACAACACATTGAGTCTGAATTCTTTCTTCTTTATTGTGTTTCCATTTTTTCTCTGTTTTAGATTTAGTTTTCGCACCATAATATCTTTGAAACTAGAAGCTTGAACAATTTGAATAACCCAAGTTAAAATAAATAATAAACAAATTGGATAGAAGAAAAACCCCAATGTTAGCGTTTATGCAAAGTGATGGAAAACAGAAGAGGATTTGCACTGAATTAGTACTGCAATAAAAACTAAGCAAACAGCTATTTATTGTATAATCCAAGCCAATATGTATGTATGTGATAGAAGGTCAAAGGTGTTCACTTGCTGACAGATGAGGTCACGATAGGACTGTGCTAAAAACAATGAGAACATTCCCATAGCTTTTGACCAATGGATTTCCATGTCTTTTCCTGTTGTCTGTGATCACTGGATAAGGAGTTCTAAAATTACTTTATGGAAATTTTACCACAAAGAGCATTTTCTAGCCAATGAAATATTTCCAAGTTGAGCATAACAGGTCAAATTCATATTCAGTTTTTTTTTTCATGAATGTGGGACCCTGATGCTATTTTCATTTCTTTCACTTTGTTTCGCAAGTTGTAGGTTTGTTTGCTGTAAATGTGAATATGATTTTTTTTTTGTGGATGTGTGAATCACTCATTTGTCCATTAGATAAATTAACAACTAAACAAAACAAACAAATAAAAAAAAAATCAAGCACTGATTCTGTGACTATGTTCACCAAACAGGATGCAAACTGTTCAAAAATAAATCCAAATAATACAAACTATGTAAATCAAATCAAGATAAACACCCGTTCATAGTCTTCAAATAAAATAAAATAATTTTTAGACATATATCTCCATGTGTAAATTTGAAGAATACATGTTCTGCTTTTGATCGTTCATTAAAAGTCATTAAAAAAATGTTTTGTGGACAATACATTTAATATATTTGATATCTTAATATAGTTTAGATATTTTGTATGATTTGGATCAAAACAAGATATTTTTCAAATGACCAAAGATAGTGATAATCATTCAACCATAAAGTTACTCTCATTCATGGGTATAAGCGAATCTTTCAGCAAAAACTTTCAAAATAATATACTATAGATTCTCATAAACATTCAAAAGAGCAGCTAATGTATGTTTAATAACATATTCTAGTCCCCTCAGGAAAAAAAATGGCACTTCTCTGAGACATCTCCATTCCACCCATGCATAACAAGATCACTAGTTTCCAGGCACATCTTGAATCAGCCGATCTCTACATAAACAACTTTGGCCGTTATACCATCCTTTGCATTCACAAGGACTGAGTTTTCTCTGGAAACCGATGGTGCTGCCGATACGCTATGAAGAGGAATTTGTACCGATGCATGCTGTATGCTACTGTATGCACTGAAATCTGCGATATATAATACATTCCTGGTGTTGAACGCAAAGACTTCAACATATCAAAAGTTTAATCCGTTAAGTGTCAGTGAAAACCAAACCGTGTGTGCTTTACTGAACTGGGAATTCTTGCAAAAATGTCACTCCCTAAAGCTGTGAGGCCTTTCAATATTACAATAAAGTCAATCCACTTTAGATTAGATCAAAACACATTAGTAAAAGATAAAAAGCATCTTGTTTGAGACCATGTTTTCAGTCAATAGTTTTCATATATACTGATATTCACTACAGTATAACAACTGGCAGTAATAAAAGTATTACTTATGCCATAAAAACTAGTTCAAAAAAAGACATACACCATTTTCCACAAATCTCAAGGCCCTGGTTCACAATTGGAAGACACCACGAAAAATACACATTAACATGACATTTTTTTTGCGTCGAGTGATCTTCTTGATTGAGTTTCGTGTATGAAATAGTCACTCTTCTCAACCAGGATGGGTCCTAGTTCCTGACTACTTGCCAGAGATGCAATGCTGAGAACTGCTAAAATAGGTTTGTCAAAAAGTCATAGCAAAGAAGTGTAAGACGGGAGGAGCTTAAAGTAAGGACGACGTCCTGAACAATAAACACAACTGCACTGTGCATGCTGGCCACAGCTAACGGAGGGTAATGCACTGAAATCCATTACGCTTTTGGACGTCAGATTTGTGTGTGTGTGTGTGTGTGTGTGTGTTTCAGGTGGTGTAAACTCTGTAGCGAGGCCAGAAGATTCTGTGCTTTATCTGCGTACACACACCGCACATTTAGCGGCCCCCTAAGGGCCCACCAAGGGCTGGGATGTC